GAACCTTTTTTTAATTCACCAAATTTTCCGTCATTAGAAAAAAGTATTCTACTTGAATTGCTTAAAAGGGAAGATCTGCAAACCGATGAAATTGAAGTATGGAATTATCTTATTAAATGGGGAATTGCTCAAACTTCAGAAGTGAAGGAAAAAAGCATTACTAATTTGGATAGTTGGAATAAAAAGGACTTCTTGGCTTTGAAAAATTCTCTGAACCAATTTACCACACATATCCGATTCTTTGAAATTTCTTCAAAAGATTTTCATAAAAATATTTGGCCTTTTAAGAAAGTGTTACCTCCATCACTCTTTGAAGAAATTGTTTCATTTCATATGTCTAAGACCGAACCTAAGCAAAATAAATTGGTTCCTCGTTATAAAAAGATTCATGTTGATTCAATGATCATCAAACCCAGACATGTGGCAGTTCTTATTAACTGGATTGAAAGAAAAGATCCTAATACGAGAATTCCAAAGGATCAATATAAAGTTAATCTTATTTATCGTAAAAGTAGAGATGGATCTGATATCAGTACTATACGCAGTCAATGTAGTGGACAGGGTGCGTGTATTTTGATTATTAAAACTACAGAAAATGAAACCATAATTGGTGGTTATAATCCTAATGGTTGGAATTACCAAAATAATACTAATTATTATAATAATTATAATAATGGTTATTACTGGGTAAATACTACCGAAAGTTTTATTTTTTCTTTAGGTGACGGAGGAGATTTGAAAAATTTTAAGATTAGTCGAGTTCAAAGCAGTGGTAATGCGATGTATGAATCGCGTTCTCAGAATATTGCATTAAATTTTGGCAATAGTGATTTGGTTATCAATAATAATGCTGGATCATGCAATCAAGGCTATTATGAAAGTACCATTTTAGATTCAAATAACTTTACTATTGAGGAAATGGAGATCTTTAAAATCAATTAATTATTTTTTGTAAAATATTAAAGTGCTTATAATAATAAACAAAGTTTTTGGTAAGAAGTTTAAAAAATTTAAATTAATACATTTTTGTAAAATCATTGAAGTTAGATTATTGCATCATTTGCATCGCATCGTGTAAATTTAGCTTATTCATAACTTAGCTACTAAACTATTATCAGTTCTTCGTTATGTGAAATAATTGTAATCAGAAGATATTATATATGAGACTAATCATTGATACTAGTATTTTTTTTTTCAAGCAGCACGATAAATTTATAAAGAAAAGAAAAGTTCTGTTTAAATAAGAAGAACAAGTTATAAAGATTTTTGTCTTTATCTCTGTAGAACAAAGCTAAAGTTTCTACGGGATTTCTCATGACATTAGAATGATCTCAATTTTAATTTAATCTTGTTCGATTTGTTACGTAATACCAATTAATGACTAATTATTTACGAAATTTGGAATCGATGATAGTGTTATTAAATATAAACGAAGGGTTTAACTCTCATTAAATATAAAGCTTCGATTAACAGCTGCCGATCATTTGAACCAACCAAACTCCGAATAACAATGCCAATAATTATTTTTTCTAATTAGCCAATTATTAATGAAATTCGTGCACATTTAGTTATCCTGTCTCAGGAAAAAGCAAATTGATGCATAATTTTTTCTTTTTTATGTATTATACCATGCCATACTTAAAATATTGCTATTCAATTAACTTGTCTAAAATATTATTACACTAATTTTGCAATTATGTAAATTTTGCTTTAAGTTACTTTCTTAGTTATTATCATGGTTTTAAAATAATTTTTAATAACTTTTAAAAATCCAAAATGATTCTCAAATAAATAAATTTAAATAAAAAAAAAATTAAAAAAAAAACTTAATTTTAACTTTATCCTTTATTTTCATATTTGCCTGCTTTGATTTAACTTTTTTAAAGATTTATTATTTAATACAATATATGAATTATAAACAAACAATGAGTAGTAGTCAATGTATTATAAAGAAAAAAATTTTACATTTATATTTAATTAACAAAAAATACTAATATCGTCGTTATAAATATAGTAAAATTTTCACTCTGTTAATTATTGTGACTTTACAAATTGATCTTTAAATAAATGGTTTATAAATAAATTAATAAATTAAATATTAAATATGTAAAAAGAAAGAATTCTATAATATTATTTGTTTATTCTAAGAAACATACTTTAAAATTAAAATCATTTAACATAATATGTTAATCAAAAAAGAAAAATTTTACATTTGTTTCTATTACACAACAGAAAAAAAAAAATTAAAATACCTTCCGTAGAATTCGTAGAATTGAACCAAATTTATTATCTATTATATCAAGCGTTTGCTAATAATTAAGTACCATTTTATTTTGTATAATCAATTATAAATGAAATTATCTTTTAATTATATTTTTATAATATAAAATTATTCTGCTTGGAACGGAGTTTCTGAAAGCTGCAATTTCTAGTTTATATTTCACCAATTCATATTTTGAAATTTAATCTGAATATATTAAACGTCATTAATTTAACTAGCCGATTGTTACAGGAAACTATAATTGTTTTGTATAAATCATTAAATTACATTTTTGAAGCAATGTAAATTTAAAAGCACTGTAAACTTGATGTTAGCTAGAAAATCAAATACCAAGTCATTTTTAAATAATTCGAGTTTTTATATAGCATTTTAATTTTGATGTCATTTTCATAATTATTTGCATTTTTTTATATAATATTTAGATATTGCTTTTTTTCCTACTTTTATTATAATCGAAATGTTTAATATATTTTTTGTTGAATTCGAAAAAAAATAAAAGTTTCTGTTTAATTGAAGTAAAATAAATAATAGAGTCAAAATTTTGAAATCAATTTTATGTAAAATATTTTAAATGCTTTGATCGTTTTAAAATATAAACAAAGTGAAACATGAATAAATTCTTATTTGCGAAGAAAGTTCATTATTAAGAAAGAATAAACGGGTCCGGCTAATTTCTCCGGTTGTGTCATTTTGTCGACTGGACATTAAAAACAGCAAGTTATTAAACGGCTTAATAATTTAACTAACGAATAATGTATACTAAAAAGAATTTTCGGTACCTGCAATAATATCTTTTCATGAGAATTTGGTGTTGACCTGAATTCCCGATACTTTCGGATAAAGAAAATTTGTTTAATATATCAACTCATAATAAGCATAATATTTGCATTATACCTTGATTAGTCGTTTAAATTTGATGAGTCATTAAGGCATTAAAGGATACATCGATTCATGGTCAGTTCGCTTGTATTCATGATGGATTCATATGGGAGCGTTTCCAGTAAAATCACATTACGGATCATATGATTTACTATGCATCATGACTTGATTTTACTGGAAACGTTCCCATATAATAAATCTTCTTATCTAGGTTTACTATAATGGAGCTTGCAACTCCAAAAAATTATTTTTTTTTCGAGTTAATATTAAATCTCATCTTATTTTACTAATATTTGGCTTATAAAGAAAAATCTATTTTTTTAGATTTTCGTACCTTTCTACTTCAAAGTGTCTATATAAGTGATTATTTTATCTGAACTTTGAGTTTTTATACAAAAAGGAGTGTAATAAAATTACTTTCCCATATGACGATTGGCTTGTGTCTCCACCGTGAATTTACGTCCTTACGAAAGATTTACTCAATATGGCCGAAAACAAAGTATCTGATTAAATAAATTTATCTTATTTATAATCATATTAAAAAAAAATACAAGATTACTTTTATGAAAAAAAAAAATTTATTTTACTAAACTATTGGTCAAACGTATGTCGGCAAAATGATCCTGAAATGAAGTGTCAGGTAAATGATAATCGCTGCAACTGTATTTAGGTTGCATACTTACTTATAATTTTATCAATTTTATCACAAAACCAAAATGCATACATAAATTTCAGAAATAACAGTTTGGTCACTTTCGAAATTTTTAGCATATTTATGATTTCACGTAATTACTTTAAAAATTCAAGAAAAAAGTTCCTGGAAAAAATGTATTTAGAAGCATCATTTCTGAAAAAAAGACCTAATAAATTAATTATTCAACTAACTCAATAAGGAAATACATATAAAATTATTTTTGTGCAGTTACACCGATCATTCTTATGGGTTAGTACGTGCTGCGGGACTATATAATTCATATGATCAAAACCTGATTTTTGTACGTACTAACCTATAATGACCTTTCCTGTGGCTTAGAAATTTTTATAAAATTTAAAATGATCTGCCGAATGCATTTTTTTTCTCCAAAAAAACTTTATAATTTTGCTTACTAAATATTCAGTTAATAAAAAATCAACATGCAAGCTGCCAATAGTTCAAATGAATGGATTGAAGAATATATTTTAAGCAAAAATATCAAACGCTACGAATATAAACATTTTAGTAATTTTGAAGCGATTGGTACAGGCGGCTTCGGAAGAGTCTATCGTGCAAATTGGAAAAATTTAAAACAACCTCTCGCGCTAAAATCGTTTCATAACTTTGACAACGCCACTGTTAAAGAAATGGTTCGTGAGGTAATTACAAAATGCAATATTTTATTTCAATTTATTCACAATAAAATTATTTAAAAGACAAACTAAAAACTTTATATTCGTAACCATTTAGCTTGAACTTCAACGGGAAGTTGATTTTCATTGCAATATCATCCGATTTTTTGGGATTACAACATCATCAAATCAAGGTATAAAATCTTTAAATAATTAGCTCATTTCAGAGATATATATTATCTTTTACATTGCATTTTTAACTCATTTATATATATTATTAAACATATAAAAAAAATTAGAAAACCAAAATGATCAATTGAAAAAATATTGGTTAGTAATGGAATATGCTGATAGCGGCGCACTCAAAAATTATTTAAAGGATAATTTTGATAAACTTGATTGGGAAGATAAATATATAATGGCATTCCAGTTGGCTAGTGCTGTGTCGTGATTACATGACGAAGGAATTGTACATCGTGATCTGGTAATCTTACGTCATATATCTTATTTTGTTTATTAAAAATCTTAAATTAATATTTAATTTTTATATTTACATAATAGCATTAAGGAAACATATTAATTCATCAAGGTGTTATTAAACTAGCAGACTTTGGCTTATCGAAAAGAATTGAAGCAATTTCTAATCAGTCAAAAGTATTTGGTGTGATTCCATATATTGATCCAAAAAGGTTTGGTAAACGGATAAAAAATGTAAATACATCGCAACAATCTATGCTGAATGAAAAAAGGGACGTTTATAGCATTGGCGTGTTGTTATGGGAGATATCGAGTGGTCGACCTCCTTTTTATGTTGAAGGTGAACCATACGACCTTGATTTAGCTAATGAGATTTCCCAAGGTCTTAGAGAAATTATCATACCTGGTACGCCTAAAGTTTACGTAAAAATTTATACAGGTAAATATTTTATTATAAATTTAAATTTAAATATCATATTTTTGATCACTAAATTGTTTTGTATGATTTTAGACTGCTGGGACAGCGAGCCTGACAATCGTCCATTTATAAGTAAAGTAGTTGATGAATTAAATGCAATTATTACAAGTACAAATAAATTTGAAAATGATCAAATTAATAATGAAGGATCAAACCTTCAATTGTCAAATCAACCTTCTTATTCTAGTATTAATAATTCATTACATGGAGAATTATCTCGAATGATTCAAAATATAGATCAGATAAATCTTAAAGAATTAGATTCGAATATTGAAACAACTGTTATAATTTACGATGATACTATTGATAGTTTAACGATTACAGACTTTAATAAGGATGACATATTAAACGCCTTAGGAGGATTACAAAGATATCGAAAATTACAAATACTTTGCTGTTATAATACTCAGATAACCAGCTTACCAACTTTACCCGCCTCATTAACGGAACTCTATTGTTACAATACTCAAATAACCAGCTTACCAACTTTACCCAGCTCCT